GTAGCTCTATTTTCAACTTTTTGAGGAACCTCCATACTGTTTTCCAGAGTGGCTGCACCAGCTTGCATTTCCACCAACAGTGTAGGAGGGTTCCCTTTCTCCGCATCCCCATGGTGGGCATATTCTAATCACTCAGTTAAAAACTAATTTCCAAATGCCAAACAGCCTTTCCCATTGTTAGAATTATTTATCATCGTTAGCATCTGGGATGTGCTTTATTTGAAAATTCTGCACAACATCCTCATAATAAAAAAATTCCACTCAATTGAGGAAAGAATGCCAAGCTTTGCTTTTTAAATTCATGTTAGGTTATCTGCTATGATTGTCCAGTATAAAATTTTTTCATCACTAATAATTCCTTTTCCCCTTTCAGGAGAAAGATACATCTACTGCCTATTTCAGTGATGAAAATTTGGTGGCACTGGTTAGTTACCTTTTGCGGTTTGCGGCTGGTACAGAAACCGTGGCCTCCACACTGTGCTGGGCACTTCTGCTCATGATGCGATATCCTGAGGTCCAGAGTAAGTCTCTTAAGATTCAGGGCATTGCCTGAAGGAAAGACTCAGAAATCTCTTGGGCTGGAAAAAAGCAGAATTCTATGGCCACACTAGATACCTTTAATTTATACCCTTGAGGACAGTGTGTACTTTTAGGTTCCTTTTGACATGAGAAAGTAGATTTTGCTCTCCAAGCTTCCTGAGACGGTCTGCAGGTGTCACTCCATGCAGGTCCCCAGAGGGACCTCAGGAATAGAGGTCAAGTGCAAGCAGTGCAGAGAAAAGATGGGTCAGAACTCATAGAGCACTTTGGTTTGATTTTCACATGGAAGGAAAACTGAGAAGATTGTTCCAATATCCCCTCCCCTACCTCTAATCACTGCATTTTATCCAGAAAAGGTCTGTGATGAGATCACCAAAGTTGTGGGGTCAGCCCAGCCTCGAATTGCACATGGAACTCAAATGCCGTACACAGATGCTGTCATTCACGAAGTACAGAGATTTGCTGATATCCTGCCCACAAGCTTACCTCATGCAACAACCACAGACGTGATATTTAAAAATTACTATATTCCCAAGGTAAGGGTTTAAGAAGGGGAAATGAGGGGAACGGGAAAGGATGTCAGGTGCTCAAAATCACAGAAGCACTGAAATGAACTGTTGGAAGGCAATCTCAGCCTGCCTTTCTTCCTGCCATCCCTCCCTCCCACTCCCTCCCTTCCTTTTTTCCTTCCTCTCTCCCTCCCTACCGTCCAATAAAAGGTAACTGAGTGTATCAGTGTGTGTGCACAGAATAGGTGGTAATTACTCCGTGCAAGATATTATAAGGTATTATTATTTCTATGTGGCAGTTGAGGAACTTGGGGTTCAGAGAGTTTAAGCGAGCTGGGTAAGTAAGGGGGCCAGATCCCCAGAAAGGCATGCCACCATTTTAGAGCTCAGTTTTCACCACGCAGGGCCCCTGACAGCCACACCTCTGGCCTCACATGCTTCCTCACACAAAAACATGCCCAGGCCCTCTGCTCCTCAATCTTATGGCATCTAGATGCATTCTTGTGCTTTCCACTTGCAAATTGAAGAAGTATGCATAGATATTTGCTAAAAGGACACTGAAGGCAGGAATCGGCATAGGATCAGAGTATGCCCATAGCACTAATTCTGTTCCTTAAAGCTTTGTCTGGTCACTGCTTCTGGGCCCACCTCTGCATGAATCCGCAGGGGCCACTAGTTATGTGGACCCCCTCCCCACACTATCGCCTGCTACTCTGTGTACCCTACAAACAAGGGGCGGCATTCATCTTTGGAGTTCTCTTCTCAAGCACGCATTAAACACACTGTTGGATTGAATTAATCAGATTTGTAGCTGATAAAAACAAATATAACCGATGTCAAAAACAAGAAAAAGAGACCCCAAGGAAGCTTTAATAATGGCAGGATTTTAGTTCTAGTTATCTATCTGGCTGCAAGCTAGGGAGAGCTTTGTATCAGAGCTTTGCAGGTACAGGGGGTCTCACACGCCTACCATGCTACTGGTGGCTAGGTCCCTCGGTTTCACCGAGCTCCAATGGAAATAATCTAGCACAGCTGTCATGAGGAGGAAAAATCCACAATGCCCAGGTACATATACTTATAAATAAAAAAGAAAGAAACAAAGGAATAGAGCACAAAGGAAGTTGTAAAATAAAACACTTTAAAGCAGTTGTTTGCTTTTCGTGACTCAAAAACTATACAGATTCATGCGCTAAGACAGCTAACCACAATGATAGTATTGCAAAGCTTTCTTTCTTTTTTTTTAAGATTTATTTATTTGCGAGAGCGAGAATGAGAGAGAGAGCACATGAGAGGGGGGAGGATTAGAGGGAGAAGCAGGCTCCTCGCTGAGCAGGGAGCCCGATGTGGGACTCGATCCAGGGACTCGATCCAGGGACTCGATCCAGGGACTCGATCCAGGGACTCCAGGATCATGACCTGAGCCGAAGGCAGTCGCTTAACCAACGGAGCCACCCAGGCACCCCTTGCAAAGCTTTCTTAAAGAGGAAGCTATGATTAACCACAGTGAAGTAGTGAACACTGTTGTTAATGGAGGGGCAGGCTTTTCTTACTATTATTTTAATTTTAGTTTTCAGAATACTCTTTCCCATATCACAATTAAAATTCCTTTCCTCAATCATCCTCGGTTGTCTCAGAGCATGTGGCAAGCTGTGGAAGGGGGAGCAGCTGACTTTTGAGGATTTGCTTTGATGGGCTCGTTAGATCTAGCTTGTCCACTCTCTCAGTCCCTGGAGGGAAAAGAGCAAAACCTCACTGAGCCTCAGACCTGCCAGGAACCGCACCAGGGTCGGTCTACATATCGCTGCACCTGAGGCTCACAAGTCACCCCATGAGGGTTCTTTAACTCCCTTCATATAGATTTAGAAACTGGGATATATCAAAAGTTAAATAACATGCCATTATCACATAGCAAACACAGGACTAAGTAAGAATCCATTTCTAGTTCTGAGTCCAAGGCTTATGTTTTTTTAGGAGGTACTGAACAAAAATGTGGTAGAGTAAGTGAATGTTCCACACTCAATCCCAAGTCCCTGCACCTCCCCTCCTTCCAGATTCTTCTAGAACACACTGCTTCTGAAAAATTACTGAGACCTTCACACATTTTGAAAGAGCCACCTTTTTAAGAAGGAATGTAATCTCTGTCATTAATAGCACTTCTGTTTCTAGGGCACCGAGGTCACCACTTTGCTGACCTCTGTACTTCGGGACCAAGCACAGTGGGAAAAGTCAGACACATTTAATCCTGAGCATTTCCTGAGTTCCACTGGAAAGTTTATCAAGAAAGAAGCTTTCATGCCCTTTTCAGTGGGTAAGGTATGCTACTTTGAGACAGGTTTGAAAAATCTGGAGGTATGTGGCCTTGTCTGAGGACTGTGCTTAGGTTTTGTATTTTTTTCCTAAACGTCAGAAATATGGAAGAGTGGAAAAGGCCTTTCCCCCGCAGGCTTTAAATTGGCTGTAAGACAGTAGGCATTGGAATGGCATTTTCTTAGAGAATCCTTAAAGATTCTTTGCAGCTGAGGCTAGGGTAGGGCCTTGGGAATTTGAGGAGAAAGTTAAGCAGGGAGACAATGGACAGCCCACTTCACTCCAACCAGAAAAGCTTTGCTTTATTTTTATTTTTTTAAGTAGACTCCATACCCAGCGTGAAGCCCACTGCAGGGCTTGAACTCAGGACCCCGAGGACCAAGAGTCGGTGGCCTAACCAACTGAACCACCCAAGCACCCCTGAAAAGCTTTGCTTTAATATGTATAAATGCCAGTGTTTTTTAGAATTTCTTGGGTAGGAGAGGATGGGAGGGGGCTTAGGGATAGGGAAGAGAGAACTTTCCACTAGAGTACATTTTGGAATCCAGAGAACTAAATGAATTTATAATTTTCTGGATTCTTAAGAACTTGAAATGAATTCTCCATTCCTAGAAAAGAATGTTAGCAAAACTATACCACAAGCATTTTGTCACCTTGTGCCTTTCCCCTTACACAAACAATAGGTTAGCATTCACTCCATATACCCATTCAGCGATAGGTAAACAGCAGTCACCCAAAGGATAGACTTTCCTTACCTACTGATAACTAAGAGATACAGAGAGATACAAAGTACAATGCATTCTCCTAATTTTTACACACAAACACACCCATAGGATGATATACCAGAAAACAGTACATGTATTAATGACTCCTACTTTAAATAAAAATGCAATATCACATCTGGAACTAGAGTTAAAGGAAATGAAAAATAATCCACATGTAATTCACAGTGTTATGAACTCAATTTTTCTTAATGCTTCCTTGCATTATATTTTGAAAAAAAAGCCATGGAAACATAAACAATGATCTCTGGAGGGCACTTCAGCTACATCTAATTCCAAACCCTCATTTTACAAGTGAAGAGATGGAGCAATTAGTTTATTACCCATAATGTTTGGTTTTTTTTTTCCCTAGACTCCTTTATCAGATCTTGGATTTACTGATGTTTAAAGAGAAGAAACAATGTTTCCCTTGACACCCCCTTTTCTCCATAAACAGCACTGTTTTTTTCTGACCAACTTTGTCTCCAGGTCCTCCATGGTTTCTCACATACCTGGGCCTGGAGGCTTCTTTGGACTATGAGACAAGAAGCAAATAGTCCAGATTTTTGCAGAGTGGCACATCTTCAAACAAGTTTGGCAAGGCTTACCTTAGGAATTCTAAACATCTCCAGATACACTGTGTGTGTGTGTTCCCTGCTTTAGGAAATCTAGGAGTAGTGATACTCTGTTTTATCATAGACAAACAAATGGGAATATTCTTAAAATATAACAACCACAAAACCATCACAATAAGAAAAAATATCATAAAACCAATGTTGAGTGCGAAGTCCTCACGCTCATCCTTACTTATTGCATTAAGACAGAGATTTTGCTAAACTCTGGAGGGCTTATTTGATTTTTGATCACAATCACTCCTAACTAATTTTGCATACAGCATTTCTTTTTAAGATAAACAAGATCATTTGCTATATTTTCACCTATATAATCTTAAAAGTAAACCAAAACAATACATGCATTTTCTTTTTAGGCAGCTAGACTCTTACCTTGAAACTGAATAAACCTAAATATAGGGTAGATAATTCACACCCTAAGTTGCATTATTTATCATCCATTTAGATGACACCACTCAATCATACATTTCGTTCTGGGCAGGTGGGAAGATCTGATCCTAAAAGCTAGATTAGGTGTTCCTTCCATGGGCTCCCTCAACACCCTATTGTAGCTTGTGACACTGTGTAGTATTTACCTAGTTCCTTGTTGGGCTCACCTACTGGGCAGTGAACCCTTCCTGAGCAATAGTCTCAGAGCCAAGCTAAATTAAATACCTGTATCTCCTTGACATTGCACATACATTGATGGATTGAATTGTTAGCTTTTATTTAATAAACATTTTCAAACAGAGAGAAGTAGTATACATTGCCTTTCACCCCTAAAAGTCTGCCTTGGTACTAGGCATCGTGAAAAAATACCCCCCACTACCCTTTGTGGAGTTCATCTGTTTCCTGGAAGTCCCATATAAACCAAAGTGCTACTTTCTTTGAGTTGTAAAATAACTACATTTAAATATTTTTCTGAACGTTGAAGTCTTTTGTGACTCAGTACACTTGAGAGTTACCTTCCTAATTAAATAAACAAACAACAAAAGAAATCTAACTTGACTGTCTACAAAAGGAAAGCAGGAAAGCAAAGCAACAGGCTTAGGATTCACAGACTCAGGGAACAGAAATGAAAAGACGTGATAGGTTCTTCTGAAGGACTAGAAGCAGAAACTTTTCATAATGCTATATCTCAATCAAATATATTATCTTTGTTCTACAATGTAACCACAAAACATTAAATTTGAGCCAAAAAAATGCACCATTCTCAGCTCAGCATGTCTTACAAAAGATATATAACCATTAAGTCCCTCTTGTTTCAATAAAAACTTACCTAGAAGACTTCCTTCCTCAACTTTACTGACTCCACCTTTCAAATATCTTGACATTTCCCCCAATAAGTCATGTTCCAAAAGTAATACAAACCAAGTCTCTGTTCTTAAAATGCTTTGGCATGACCGAGTGTCTACTTAGCCTCTGGCCTCAGGTCTTAGGCTCCAGAACTCATGCTCTATGCTCCGGTCAGAACCAAATTTTTTTAGCCCTGAGATACATCATGATCCCTTCCACATCTCACTGCATCTTTGCCTGGCTGATTTCTTCTCACCCTGGGCACACGAGCTGAGATATAAAGCTTTCATACAAAGGAGGAGTCCTCCCTGACCCTTTAAATCACACTGGGTACCTTTACTATCTGTTCTCATGACACACTTGGCTTTACCCTTCGTAACATTTTCCACACTAAAATGTTAATATTTGTTTAGCTGCTTGTTTCCCTCATGGGGGGGGGGGGGAGGGGCGGGCGGGGAGAATTAGAATATATACTTGATTTTATATTTCCCGGGCTTCGGCAGAACCCATGAGGCTCAGAAGAGGTTAAGCAACTAATTCACACATTCTAAGGTAGGAGAAATCACATGTGGACAGCTTTTCTCTTTGTCCAGATTGTGTTTCAATTTTTTGTGCTCATACCTCTCCTAAACCTCCACGTCCATCTCCTCAGGCCGCCGGTTGTGTGCTGGTGAGTCACTGGCCAAGATGGAGCTTTTCCTGTTCTTCACCAGCCTCATGCAGAAGTTTACCTTCCAGCCACCCCCCGGGGTCTCCCATCGGGACCTGGACCTAACCCCAGACATCGGCTTCAACACTCGACCAATGCCTCACAAGCTATGTGCCCTGCTCCGGGCCTAGGCTCTGCATTGCAAGCTGCAGCCCCAGTTCTTGATGGGGTCCTCAGCACTAACTCCCCTCTTCTGCATCATCAGCCACATCATTGCAGAGGGTTCTCATGTGAGATCAGACTGATTTCCTGGGCTAATCAATGTAGTGGATGCCTCCTTGCTGTCATTCTCTAAGACAGAACATGTGACAACTAGAATCTTCACTTCCTGCTCTAAGGTCTTTCTTTTAAACCAAAACTGTCCTTTTCCTCCAATGCCTATGAGACATTTAAATATCACTGAATAAACTACTGAAAAAACTACTGAATCAGTAGTTTTAATTGGTTCGGGCAGGATGACTATATAATTAATGCTTTGTTCTAATATGTCCATGAACATCTTCAAAACTGCAATGAAGAAAATTCAACTTTTAAGTGGGGATCACACTAAACATAAGACATATAAGACATTGGATCATTCTGTGAATAACCAAAAAAGGGTGGTTAACAACGGATAATTGCTCATGAGTATTGCCAGTTTGCTGAGGTCAGCAAGCGAATGCTTCTGCTCCTGACGTAACTGGAATTTGCAGGCCCCACTTCCCTGCGCCCCATGCTCTGAAGGCACATGCAAGACCCACGGGCTGCAGAATAACAAAATCACTGTCAGTTCCCCTGAGACACAAAGCATCTTCAGCCTTTATGAAGTCAAATGTATCTCCCCATCATCAACATAAATGTTTCTCTCCTGCTCTTATCTGATCCCTGTCATAGCAAAACTGGCACTGGATAAAGTTAACCCATCAAGCAAGACTTTGAGCCTATTGTCATAGAGGAAAGACGCCAGAACTTCGACCGAACTCAACTCCGCTGAAACACGGGGAGAAGGGTTTTTAAGTGTGTGGTGAGCTAGTAGAAAAGCTCTTGTGATGAGTGGGGAGGTTGATCAATATCCTATATCCCTACGCTGAGTTACTCCCTAATTTGCACATTTTTTTCTCTAGGATTAGGCCATTAGTGTTTGCTAATTAGCCTCCATTGAAGTTTAGCTCCTACTCTTCCAGAGACAAGGAGATGGGGTGCTGACTTCCTTGATGACCACATTTCAAAGGGAGAGATCTCATGTCCTTGAGAAAGACATTCTTGGGTTGTAAAACTGGTAAGAGATTTTTTTTTTTTTAAAGCTGTACAAGTCAAAGGGGCAGAGAAAGAATTTGTAAGTGAAAGTTTTCTCATGTAAATGCCCTAAGAAAATGGAAGTCAGGGCCTAGAGCCAGGAAGAAACCTGTCTAAAGTTGAGCCAAACTGAGAGGAATGTTAAGTCCTTCCTGGTCATTCCCAAAGCAGCATTTTCCACAAAGCCTTTTTAGAATGAGTCAGATGGGGGGAGACTCAGCTTCTCTGACTTTGTTGACCTAATAAACAAAACCGTCAATGACAAAGAAATGGGACCTGCTAATTTTAATTTATTGTTTGAACACATTCAAATGCGAGTAGCTGCACTTTCTGAGTTGCCCTTAGTACCTAACTGGTGTTCAATAACATATCAGGGAATTCTCAGTCCAAAGTCAACATGAATTTGTGGACTGCTTTCTCTCATGAAGGGAACAGAAACCGTTGTTTCTGTTAGAGAGCAGGAAATCTTGAGTTTTAATTCCAACCCGTTTAGTCCCCCATGTTTGAGACTTTATGACCACATGTTGGCAGTGGTATACATGGTGAATCTGGCACCCAAAGGAAGATAATTTTTATCTATTTATTTATTTATTTATTTTTTAAAAGATTTTATTTATTTGACAGAGAGAGACAGCGAGAGAGGGAACACAAGCAGGGGGAGTGAGAGAGAGGGAGAAGCAGGCCTCCCGCCAAGCAGGGAGCCCAATGCGGGGCTCGATCCCAGGACCCCGGGATCATGGCCTGAGCCGAAGGCAGACGCTTAACGACTGAGCCACCCAGGCGCCCCCGAAAGTTTCTTTTTTTAAAGAGATTTTATTTATTTGACAGAGAGACAGCGAGAGAGGGAACACAAGCAGGGTGAGTGGGAGAGGGAGAAGCTGGCCTCCCGCGGAGCAGGGAGCCCGATGTGGGGCTCGATCCCAGGACCCTGG